ATAATCCTGGACTTGAAGCTCGCATGGGTTCCCAAGCTCTGTTCATATCTCAGCATCATTGTGATTGTATTTCACATAATACCCTCACGTAACGAACAAGTAATAGGCAGTAAATTACAGTTAAACAGATGAGCATAATATCGACAAGCGTCAATGCGCAACGCCGTTGGTAGCCTGAGGTTTCAATCGGTGTTTCAAAAATTCTCATTGCATCGAATATGTTGTATAACTCTTCACCTTCAACAATTTGACATAAGTTTAGTAGTCAACAAGCGACCATCGACGAAATTCGGAATTCCTAGTGCATTAGGCTATTTGCCCTGAATGGTTTAGCCCTTTGTTCCCTTTGCTTAGCCCAGAGACGTGAGCCACATAAGTCATTGTTTGTTAGGAGGAAATAGTCGCCCAATCCTTAAGAACCAAGAATGTGTGTACCATCTGTTATTCGTCCTGACACATGAAGACGATCTAACCTGTTCGCTTGTAGTCACAAAAAACTTTGTTTGATGCTACCTTTAGACAACTAGCGGTCTTGTTGAGGTGGCGCAGTTGGCTGATGCGATGTGGACGTTAGAACACTGTACACTTTATCCTTTATCTGCGCACTATTATACCGTTTTTATTCTGTTGTCCATTTCTCCGCTCTCTGTTCAAGGATTGCTCGACGACCAGTCGAGCGGCTGCGTTCTTTCTGCATATAGAAATCAAATAGGCCTTCTTTTCTGGTAACAAATTCGAAAGATGTACTGAGTTTATACAATCGGTTTTCACTATCTTTTCTCGTACTGTCGGCCAAATGGATGAGTTGAAAAACCCTTCAAACTTGGTTCTTGGGATAATTTTAGATAAAGTGGAATAATAAGTATTAGCAAAAACGTACCTTCAGTAATGGGAAGCCGTACCAATCTAACATTCCTATTTCAAAGCGTACACCTATGAAAGCTCTCATATCCCCAACAGTTACCTGTTCCCACAAACATAATTCATAGAATGATGTTGCGCATCGAAACAGTTCACCATTGACTGCTACTGAAGACCCACTGGCACCACACTGTTTGACCGTTCACTGACCTCATGCAACGTCACCTTTATCCTAATCCTCCAGTTTACCTTTTTTTCAATGGGAGCACAATGAGGAACCGTCTTCATTGTCTTCAACATCCTGTTCTTCACTGTCGTTAAGCACTTTACCGGAAATGAAGTTGGACTCGTCATACGTGGACATGATCCAGGCATATGAATTTCGTTTTTCCACCGGTAGATGGTTGTTTTTTCCATCGAAGTCACCATAGTGAATCATGGCTATCACGGCTATGAAATGAGAGCGTGTAAAAAGTACTAAGAAATACCTATCCGTATGCATTTATCAATTCATTTCCTTCCGTTTTCCTTGTTTTGTCACATTTTTTGCAATTAATAGCTTAGCAGATGATCGGTAGTAGTTTCGGAACGGCTGTTCCTGACACTTAAGAATTTATAATGAAGTTTTTTTTGGTGTGAATCACCCAGCAACAAGAATGGTTTTAACGAGAAAGGCATTGAGATATTCCTAGTATGGAGACTTGCTGGTGCTCAGAGTGCTATAATACGACAACACCGACATACAAAGTGCGTGGTTTCTTGGAGTGTTCGTCTGGGTAGATTAGATGTTCTCAACTTGGTCGTCAAAAGATGGTGGACGTAAAAAAATATACTCAACATAGGTTACGACATCCATTACCAAGAGCTGAAAATATCGTGGTAGGGTGGTGGACGGGCTTTTTTTGTCACACGCAAGAAATAAAAATATTCTAAAGAGATCGAAAAGGACGCAGACGAAGAAAAACACCACAAATATGATTTTGAACAAACCGAATGTACTAAAAAGGCACATAGTAAAACTCGACTTGAGAGTGGAAACAAAAGAAAAGGGCTGGCTCACTATATGTGGGCGTAGTTTGGATATCATTAGTCACATACGACTCATACCGAGCTAGGCAAGAATTAGACGTTGTTTAACGAAACAGCCGTTTCAGAATTCATGTGTTTTCAGCAACGGTTTAATTGACGTGTTCAGATGTGTTCGATTAATATCCACTACGAAGTGGGAGAGATCTCGCATCCTAGCGCAAGAGATGATCTTTGCAACCATACATTATACTGTACTGCTAGGATATGACGAATCCATTCGTCCTGCCTCTCTCTCTCTCGACCTGATTAGCTAGTTGTCTGTCTGCAGCAACACATAAAGCAATAGATTCTTACATATTTTTTAAAACTCTTAACTTACAGCGGTATCGTTGTTTCCTGCTACAGCAAGCTCCGGTAAACTGCACTCCACAAATTCTTCAGGCAAGAAAGAACAAGGTACAAGTGGACCCATTGGGTATGCATCGTCCATTTCTTGCATACATGAGTCAACAGCTAATCGCTCACGATCTAAGGCGGCTTTCGAAACTGTCAGTACAACCTGAGGAAAGACCAGGATTTTCAAACAAGTCAGTGGATTTTTGGAAAGAAGTTACTCTAAAAATATTATATCCATATTTTACACCTAAGTATGCACTACTTATTACAAATCGAGAAATACCTGTTCATAAGAAAAATATATAGAAATGAAAGCTAGAATCTGTGTACTTAACAACATCTACTAAAACTTACAAGTTAATTAACATATCTACGACTCATTTCCTTCTGTTCATTTTGTCCTGCAAGGGCTTTTGTTTTGCTAAAAATTAATCCATTCAATCCAGTCCATCAAAAATGTATCAGAGTAACAGCCGAGAAGGGCTGTTCGTTAATTATTATAATTTACAAGAAAACTATTTCTGTATGAGCTTCTTTCTTCGCGAAGACATTGGCACTGGTAATGAAGGCACTAAAATATTTCCTATTAGAGTGTTGACTTCATCAACGTTCAACAGTGTGTTTCCACAATTTCCTAGCTTTACATTCATATAATAAAAGTCGTGTGATGTGTGAAATATAAAAGCAACATTTACTACCAAAGAACGCAGAACAAGTGAACTATATAGCGAGAAGTAGAACAAGTAGGGGTTGTGATTCCTGAAAAGTGGAATAATCCGTACGAGTCATATGTGACTCACGCAGCATTGCGGAGAAAATTTTGGTGTGGTCTGTCGGAAGTCGTTAACAAAATTAGGTATTGGTGCGAATGTGTTAGCACTTAAAATCCGATACAGTAACTCAAGCTGTTTATCCACAAGCTACTTGTTAGAATGGAAGGTTCAAAATCAATGGAGGACTAGCAAGACACTATTGTTGAACAAAAAGGAGATCTCCATCACTTCGGCAACTGTCGCCTAGTCTTCGCATTGTCTGGCGACTTTACTCGACTTATCCATAACAGGATTGACAGAACACTTAACAAGAGATAGCCATGTAATTAAGCAGTGTTTCGCAAAAAATTCAATACGATGGACTACATCCGTAAAATAAAAGATTCACTCTCAGAAAACCTTTGCCTCTGCTGGAACAGCAGCCACCGTGGAAGCTATATACTGCCAAGACGTCTCTATTCAGTATACAAAGATTCCTCCTAATCTATATAAAAATTCCACGGTCTAAATATTATCATTCTATAACGATATTACCATCGACGTAAGAAGAAAAGTTTGACAAGGTAGAACCACCTCGCCAAATCAATTTACAATTACGGAGAATGTTTGAGAAAACTGAAATCGGAGAACACGGGAATCAAAGCCGATAGTCGGCAATTACATCATCATCGCTCTGCCAACGATATCGCTCTAATAATATCAAACAGCCACATCAATTTTTCATTATTCATGTCTTACTCATATACAAAGTCTCCATAAGTTGCAGGGTTGTAGGTTGGTTGAACTGGTGTACGTTTTAGGTTGTGAAAGTGGTAAGTTTTAGACAGTGCGGATTATTAAAGACGCAAATTGTATTTAAAAAGTGCGAGAGCTTCCGATTGTAAAACAAATGCAGATGATTTTCTTGCCGTCAGTGAAATGTAACGAAAAGTTGGAAAGAGAAAATTGTGGAAACTCATTGACGAACACCTAGCCCTTTACCAGAAAAATGATGGTTGTGGGGAGGCCAAGTGTGCACAGATATGCTGCAATTACACCTGTTCAAGTATCCTCAACTCACCGAGGTCAAAATCAAATTCAAATAGAAATCACGAAAAGATTCACCATCCTGTCGCAACGGAAAGACATTCATAACTATTCAACTCATAACTTCAGTGAGACATTTCTGCGCTCACTTCAGTGGCAACTCTACGATGTGCACTCTCTTTAGCATCGACAATCTCTACATTGAAAAACCGTCTGTCCATTACTAGGTGTGAAGACCCACATTCCAGGTCCGACGGTCAACCCAATGGTCTGTGTCAGATTATCCTTTGATGTGAATACGAAAAGCATAGCAAAAACCCATATGAGGCAAAACAAACGAACGGAAAGAGAATGAGCCGATATCAGCTAATGCCGAGCGACCTGAGCACCATTTATAAGTGGAAATTCGGTGATGCTACACTTTAAGGGTAATGGAAAATGAACTCATTTGCAAAGAATTTGCTAGTGTACTAGCATCTGTCATGAAAAATTTATTACAATTGCTACTTATCAGCCTGAAATTTTAAACTTTTCAAACGAACAAAAAACTTACCTCTACGTCTCCATGCATTCCAGAAAACAATGACAGGTAAACCAAAGCAACAAATGCAAGTTGCTTCATGTTATGACCAAACTACTCTTCTGCAGCAAAGAACATGTCCAGTAAGAACATTAAGGACCCTAAGGTCTAAAAAGTCCCCACGATTGCGAAACTTCTGAAGAACAACGAAGTTGATAAAGAAGCTTAGAAGTATCGCTAAATCAAATACCCAATGGCGATGCGACACGTAATGCATTGACAACAGGAGTAAAAATACCATTTATTTAAACGAAATAAACACAATAGAAATCTTGAAAAGACAAAGACAAACCCGCTCGGGTTAAATAGAACTCCAGCACAAAAACACTGAAACCCTATTTCTTCACTATTTGTATGACGTCTTCGTGATCAAGTTTGTGATGAATTCCAACCCTCTGAGGAGAGAATTTCGTACTCGTTCCCCAAACAATGGCGTAGCGGAACTGACTGGCAAGCGATCGATGCAAAGCATGACAGCAATGCTCAACTGTACATCCAGCCCTCAGAATAATTCCGTCCTCAGGTCCTAAAAATCAATATAGTGATTAGGAATTAAGCTAAAAAAAGGTTTCCCAAACTAAGAGATAACTCTGAATATGGTTTTAGCTTTGGTTATACCTAGATCAGGTGCGTTTCCAGGCTTTTTTGTGTAAATTCGAACAAGCGCCAAATACTCCCATATTTTCTCTAGAAGATAGTCCATGTTTAAGTTCATCTCGCACGATATTACAACATGGTGGGGCAACCTAGAAAAAAAGAAGCATAAAATGTGTCGGAAGATTTAACAGAGATGTAGAACTGAAATTGCTCTAATGGTTGGATCTCAGAGTTTTCTAGGATGATATTCCCATTTTTAACCTGTTTTAAACTCAAATTTTAAAACTTTCCAAGGCAAGCATCTCGGCAAGAGCAAACAACAAATGCACAATAACGCACATTACTATGGGAGAGGGCGCGTGTGGTGCAGTGGTCGGGGCGCCCTGCAATGCATATGTGATCGATCTCCGCGAACCAGGATCACTAAGCCTTTCATCTCTTCGGAGTCGGCAAATTGATACCAGACTTGTCTGGTAGGATAGCAGCACTGGCTCGATACATCGTTAGGCCACCGCGAGTCATTGTAAAGGTCAGATATACATTCAATCAGCTCTAAATGATGCTTAATGAAGTCGAATGCATGGTATACCTAATAGATAGGACAACGCCGAGAGCTTTATCCTTCATTTTTTAGTGTAGAAAAACTGGGTGTGAATCCCTTATTTAATCATATCGCTGTTTAAAACATCAGTTTATCATCCATTTCACCACTATTTCAATTAATGAGGTTCATTACGAGGTGAACTATGCTGGTCTAAAGTTGGAGGGCTTAATTATTTTCGGTCATATGTTATCTATATACATCTAGAATGTGCTAGAAACAAGAGCACATCCAAAACCACTCTCAGCAAAAAGCCATTCTACTTATTTCGATATTGGAATAGCACGTCTTAGTGAGGCATAATGCGTGGAAGGTTTGCCAAACTTTTAAATCAAATGGTATTTTGCTGGTTTCCCAAGATTTTTGCCTTGTATTCCAGAGAAAGCATTATAGTGTTACGTAGTCGTCACCACAAGAATTGAGGAAAGTTTTGCTACCTACGACTAGGTTGATGTTAATATTACGAATACCGACATTGGATTACTTCAGTTTTCGATCAATGTTTCCGCAATGGGAATGTATAACTTCTCATTTTGAGCGACCTTACTGAGGAATAAAACAATAACTAAAGATCGAAGTTAGACATCTAGGAACAGTAGTTCTTCCACCCACAGTGAGGAGCTATACATTGAGAAGAGGGTCATTTTGTTAAGCACAAAACATGGAAAGGAAATTCCTGTCAATGCAGATTTAACAATGAAACTTTCTCAAAAGAGGTGATGTGTGCAGGAGTAGAGAAGCAACCTCCATGCACTTTAAGAATGCAGGAAACCTAATTTAGATGAGCGGAAGACGATGATATGAAGTTAGGATTCAAAATAGCACTACTGCGTAGGTAGGTGCAGAATGTCTAGTATAAAGCCCAGTTCTTCACTTGATAGCATAGAAACTAAAGTAACCATAAAATCAAAAAAGCAAAAAAAAACCCCACAAACCTTGCTAACCGGTCAACTTCTTCTATTGAAATTTGGTCAATTTTATTGTAAACGTACAAACACGAGATGTAAACACGATTTCCCTGTATGACATCAATAAATTCATCGACACTGAAAATCATTTAAAAATGAAAATAGTGAAGAAATGCGTATTTATGGCAAGTATCCGAAGAAAATCTACTACAAGCACAATACAACTTATATACTTACTTGGATACCTGGACGGCCCGCCCCCCTTGGTGGTGCGGGCCCAGCATAATCTCCATTCTTCGGAATTTTGCTGGTTTAGCTATACTGTTTCCCTGGAGTCACGAAGTCATTCTGGACAAAGTCTGCCACATGTCAACACCACCATAGGCTGTCACCGCGTTTGTGGAACAGATGGTGATTTGCCGCCATGCGACTAGTTTGACTACACGACAGTGGTGGATCCTTGTATTGATTTACTCTTAGCTGGGCTTCCTGGTGGAGACCCTGGAGTGCTTTTCAGCTTGGGAGACTCTGCCGAGGGATGAATCGCCGCTGTGCATCGCAGCCGACACCTTAGAACACCTCCCAGCCACGACGAGGCAGTAAACCATTGAGAGGAGTAGGACAACTACAAATGAAATTTACTTCAAGAAAATACAGTAAGGACTTACGTTGCATCTTCTCGAAACACAACGTCGGCATTGAAAATTTTATATTCGTGTAGTATTGTCATGACCATTTTCTCATTGCAGTGAGTTAAAGGCACGGTGTGAGTGAACTTAATTCCGCCAATCTGAAGAAACAAACAAAGAGTGATGAATACGAAGGAACATCAATTCTACAGCTCACCTTCTTTTGCTTCACGTAGATGTGGGGTGGACGTTTATTTAGGCGAATTCCAACGGTTTCTAACTCTTTTTCTAAAAGCGGACGTTGATGGTCCGATTTACCAGCATCGAGCATCATCAGAATGACGTCGGCAGTCTTAGCAACAGCAATAACTTGTCGTCCACGACCTTGGAACATTACAACAATTTAAGGATCTGAATTCATTACTCTAACTTACTAGAGAGACATATGAAGCATAAACTTCAATCAGGATTCTAAAACCAAATGAAGGAAAGAACAAAGCTTTCTAAAAGTTATAGTTCCCTCGTTTCATAAAAGTAGGAAGATAAATTAACAATCAGCTAACTCTCAATGGAACACGTGTAGCGAGGTGGTCAGAGGCGGCCTGCAATACACATGAGATCGATCTCTGCGCCTCCGGTTCCATTCATCCGGGGCTGCTGAATTGGTACCAGACTTGTCTAGGAGGATAGCAGCACTGTCTCGATACATCGGTAGACCACCGCAAGTCATTGTAAAGGCCAGATACGCATTCAATCACCTCCAACGATGCTTAATGAAGTCGAATGCATGACGCATCTTTCAGGGATAAAACAACGCCGAGAACTTTATCCTATATTTATTTAACTCTTACTCACTTGGATACTTGGACGGCCCGTCTTCACTAGTTGTGCGGGCGCCAACATAATTTCTATTTCTTTTTGGGATACTTTCTGGCTTGGCCATTGTAGTTCACTGGAATCCCAGCGCTGGCCTGTCCAAAGTCTGCTCCACGTCGCCACCACCACAGGCAGTTGCAATCCTTGTGGATCAGAGGAAGATTTACCACCATGCGACTAGTATGATACCATGACGGTGGTGGATCCTGGTATTGGTTTACTCCTAACTAGACCTCCTAATAGAAAAGCAGGACTCCTTCTGAGCTTGGAAGACCCTGCCGAAGGGATGAATCCTCTCGCTGTATATCGCAGTCCGACACCCAAGAACACCTCCCAGCCACGATAAGGCGGTAAACCGTTGGCACGTATTGAAAACTCAATAACCTAATAGCATATAAAAGTACAAAAGCTGTTTACCTTTCCCTTGTGACGCTCCTTCTATAATTCCTGGCAAATCCAGAAGCTGGATACTAGCACCTTGGTAATTTATAACACCAGGAATGCAAGTTAGCGTGGTAAACTCATAGCCAGCAATTTCTGAGTGGGTACTTGTCATGGTTGAAAGAAGCGTAGACTTTCCGACTGATGGGAAACCTACCTGCATTTGAAACAAAAATGAGAAAAGCAAAATATGCAATCATAGAACGGAAACATCACCATCGCAACTCTGGCATCACCACTTTTCATTACATCGAAACCATCTCCTTTAGAGCCGCCTTTACCACCAACTGGTTCTAGCAACTGTTGACGATACTTCGCTAGTTTAGCCTAGGCTAGCGAGAAATATGTGACCTCTTTGATTAGAACATGCAATGTACTTATTCTATTATAACCTATACCTTCAAAAGTCCCAGGTGATATTCCGTTGCTTTATTTTTCTGAGTTCGTGAGATTTCCCGTTCTACTTCAGCAATTTTCTCCACAATTCCCATTAATACCTAGAGCTAAAAAAAGGGCTAACCGTGTCCACAACAGCAAAAAAAGATAGGGCATAGTAGAGGAATGTTTATAGGGAGAAATATGATAGGTAAATACCTCACGAATGTTAATTAATGTTAAAAACCTTCACCCAAAACAAATTTGTGCGTATAATAAATATACATCAACGAAGTTATGAAAAACGAACCGAACCAGATTCAATAAAGGATTTTTTTCATATGTACATAAGGGAAACTAATATAATACATCAATAAACTGAATCATAACCCGCATTGAATACCTCACTAACATACCGAACAAAGGAAGGACAAGATCGCACCACTGAAGGGCACGACCAAGAGAACGTGACTGATAAAAAGGACAAAGTATAGCAAAGCAGAAATACTGTGTGCGTAACATCAGAGATCAAAGAGATTCTCCAGAGTTGGAAGTGGAGCATCTTCAATCACTTCCGTTAGATCCGGTAACGAGTCGAACGCCTTTCTCACCTGTAAGAGAAATCAAGCAAAAAATTAGAACAGTTCCCAAGATCGACTTTTTGCTAAATTCGGCATTAGATTATAAATGATTTTTCTTTTTCAGTAATCCCGAGGTTGTTATACAGCACACGTTTACTTCCGTACAAAAAGAACACATATAACACAACGGTAGCTGACGTCTCGGCAGTATCGCCTTCTTCGGAACCCGGAAGGGTACACTGATACGTAATTCACTAGTAAAGTTTGAGTTTACTAGCCGTTTGACCTAATAAACTACGCATGAGTACGATTTCAGGCCCTAGGATGCGATACTGCCGAAACGTCAGCTACTGCTGTATTGTACGTTCTTTTGGTACGGAAGTAAACGCAAGCTGTATAACAATCCCGAAATTTCTAAGAAAGAAAACGACATATTTCAAAAAAAAATAGCAAATCGACTTGCTTCGCAAAACAATACTGCCTGAACAAACAGTTTTAGTCGATAATTCATCAATACTTGAGGAAGCATAGGTTGGCAAATAATTAGTTAGGCAGTCTCACCTCACAAAGATCACTGCGTGCACGCTCTTCTTTCTTCTTTACCTCCTTCAGCAATCTTTCATGAAGGTCGACAGTTGCTCGAACGTTGACAATCATATCGTCAAAAAGTTTTTGCAAATTTCTGCGCTCTAACATTTCATCGGCCAACCTATATAACAAGGCTGAAATCCACGTCAAAAATGCAAACATTAAGGTGGAAAACTATACTATAAACAAAGTATAAACATCTTGAGATCTAGCTTGAGACGAAAATGAACCAGAAAAAGTTGAGAAACAGAATAAAACGGCATCGTCTACAAATGTTTGAGTCGACCAATCCCTTAGCGATGCGCCATGCACTCCATTTCATCAAGCATCATTGGAGGTGACTGAATGTGTATCTAACCGACATAACGACTCCCCGTGACATACTATTATATCAAGTCAGCGTTTTCATCCTCTCAAACAAGTCCGCCGATAATTTATACCCTCGTTCATGTACTGAAGCCTTGGTGAGCCCAGGATGCATGGTGGAACCGTGCAACGACCAAGTGTGTACTGCGAGGGCATCTTTACCCACGGCGTTACACACTCCGGCCAAAATTGGAAAGTTTATCAAAATTATGAATACTGAGAGACGAAATCAAAACGGCCACTTTATTAGTTAAAATATTAAGGACCACTTTTTAGTAAAAACAAAATGGAACACCTTTGACAGTATTCTTTCACAAGTGGTTCGGCTTCAGCAATTTCCGATAACAACTTCCTCGCCTCTGCACTGTTCCTAATTGTGTCGAGCGATTGTGGCGTGGCAATCATTTCAGAGTAAGATGCAATCTTGTGTCTGAAAACTCGTATGAGTACGAGAAGAGGCAATGACGTACAGTTTCACACACGTAACGAACCTAACTTCAGCATCCGCGCTGGGTGGATAATCAAGTTTACGTAAGGATTCCAATACCTCCGTTACATTTGTGCTAACGGACTCTGAATCATATTCAGGAGGCGGAGCGGGAGCTGTGACCTGAAAAAGTAGAGGGAAGATTAATACGAACGCATCAGATATTAACACATCCGAATCGAACCTAGGATAGAACAATCAGATTTTATTGACGATACAGTCTAAGTCATTTAACCAGAAGTTTTCAAGTGTCGGATCAATCAAAGGAGATTTTTGGTAAAAATGAGAACGGTACTTCTTAGAGTACAATATATAGCGTGGACCAATTAGCTAATTAATATGGAAGAAGCTCAAACATGCAGAAGACGAAAGACATAGATAGAGTATACTCTACTACTTGCCGCTTATCACCAGCAAGATACCATCGATAATATAAACCAGGACACTGTTAATCATTGAAAAAATTCAACGTATAGCTCCAGATTTTAGCATGACGTCTTTTCACAGTTTTTGACAACAAAGATGCCAATGATAGTTCGCCACGGTCTGCCATAATATAAGCTTACTCGAAGAATAAATTAAACTGCAAAATAAATTTGCATCCATGTTTATGACGTTTTCTGCGTAAAATACAAATACTCTTGCGTAACCGAAGAACAGAACCACTTATCACATGGTCGTTCGGCTTGTTTGTGTTTGACAATCTTGTCGGGGTGTACGACGAATACTGGACTTCAGCATAAATCGGTGGAAGTCTAACTTACAAATCCTAGAAGAGAAGAGAGACTTCTTAGAGATGAAAAACAACTGCGGACTACTTACTCGGAACATCGGACGTGATAAAGACGAAGATTTTGAAACATTAACCGAGTAAACCTTATTATCAACCCCGTTTAAGTTCAACAATTTAAACACATGTTGACTAGTTTAACTTACTTTCAAAATTAAAATAAAGGCGTCACCTAGCACATTTTCTTTCCTGTCTGGAAGGCCATCAACACTGAGCTCGTTTCAGTAGGCTACAAAAAGCGGTGCATTTGTGGAACATTAACGCACAATGTTTAGTTTTGACAACTGACGACGGCTTACAGATCACTAATACATTGAAGGAGTGATTAGTTCCACATATTTTAAAAAAATAACTTTCCTCTCCCTAAGTGCATATATGGCTCTCGGAAATCAACACTGTGATTACGAACAAAGCTAGCAGCGAAGTCCTCGAAAAATTAGAAACAGATTTTAAACTTTTAAAAATTCCAAAGTAACTGTGGATGACACACGAACATCAGCAATACTAGGGGACACCACAGTTTGAAAATGAATAAAATCCCGCTTGTTCTATTGCAAATGCGCTCAGAACACAAGTCTCTCTGTGCTAGAAATGGTGGAAAGAATGTTTGCTGAAATTTTTCAGGGCCCATAAAATTAGTGTTCCACATTGGTAGAGTAGAAATATTTTGAAGGCAACGATCGACACATTTTAAGAGTTTTTGCGATAATGTTTAACTTCTTATTTGGTGCCTATTATTTTTCATGGAAGGATATTATGCGAAATATAACCACAACGATGTTGAGATATTTGCAAAACGTAGATCACACACCAGAGGACTCAAATCCGTTACTGCCCTTTCTGGGTATTCACATGTTACCCACTGCACCACAGAAGCCCCTGCTTTGCCATTTCCTCAGAAAGTTTTTTTTAATAACTCTAATGCTGCCATCGGCAATCATCCGTCAACAAGATCACAAAAAAATGGAGAGCACAAAAAAAATAGTAGGGATGGGGAGCACAAGTTACAAATCGAATCTAGTCTAAGTTCCCAGTTTTACAAATATTCCAGGATCACTGTTCTCGGGTTAATTAATAAACTTCAACACGAACTTAGTGGTTTTAAGTTAAAGCGGCCATTATTTTCACATCTAAGGTATTATAATAAATAAATGTGAAAAGTTATGTGTTAAATTATTAGGTCACCCTAAAATTCATGGACGACGCTAGTGCAAAAATGATAGCATCTTATTACCATTAATTTTAAAAACATATTTCGCAACAAGTATTTGTCGTTGATCGCACTGCTGTACACATCTTTAATACCGACTTCTTTCTTAACGATACGTCACATAGCTTCTTTTATAATATTTCATGTACAACAATTTTGCACTGGCTAGAATGACATGTTCGATCACGAAAACCGGGTTGTTTTGGCTCGTGAGTTTAAACTTAGAAATAAAAAATGGTAACAATTCGAAATATCCAACATGTGCCGTGATGGCTTTCTACGCTTCTAATGCACAGATGTTTCCTAAAGTTTCGCACTGACGACATGAGTGTTCATAACGAAGAAGGTTGTGGCCGAGCGTCATCACTTGATGGTAGTCATCTGAAGCCGTTAATCAAAGCAGACCATTCAAAAACCACTCGAGTGGCTTGTGAAAAAACTCTCACCTTTCTAGATACGGTGCTAAGAAAGCTTATGTGGGCACTAAACCAATAGTACAAATGCAAACGAGATCGTTGTCATGAATTTTATTTCTTTTCTCGTTTACACAGCCAAACGTCCCATTTCTCCATCGTATTGCGTAGGACGATAAGAAGAGAACCCTACACTACAAACGGCGTTGTCAGGTTTAGTGGTTGAAGAAAGATGATGCTCTAAAACACTTCTAACGCCAAAGTCACACCAAAAAAAAAATTATGTAAACTCTTTTGCCTTTAGCAGAGAAAATCGTCTAATATAATGTCATGAATTTTGGCAAAACGGTCACAACGAAGTGCTGCTTTGGAAACCACAAAAAACCAGCGGATTTATCCAGAAATGGTCGAAAGAAAGAGCCCAACGGTAGGTAGCATAAGACAACTCTCTACCACACATTGCATTTACTCTGGAGAAGTTGAACGAACTAAGGTACAAACCGTTTCGCCCCAATGCAATCGCCGAACCTCATCCTAATCAACCACTTTTTTTACAAGCATCTTGGCAAATAATACCTGGAAAAAAGCTTGAAAACCTGGCCGCTGCAAACAAATGCTTTCCCAGCAATGTGTCATTTTCGGAACCGCAGAATTTTCGGCTATGGGAATCAATAAGCTTTTATCTTGTTGGCAAATACCTATACAATCTTATGGCTCTTAAAAAGGCGTGTCAGATACAAGTTATAGCGTTTCAAATTTGCGGTCCAAAATCCGTCATTCGTTTTGGACCGACCTACATTTCATTCAATGTTTGGTTAACAGCACAGTTTTGTCAATTCCAGCCCATAAAGGAAAGGAGACGTGTGACGCAGTGGTTGGAGGCGCCACTGCGACACACACGTGGAATCGAATCGATCGCCGCACCCATGGCCCACCAAGGCTTCCATCCTTCCGGGGTCGGCAAATTCGTACCAGACTTGTCTGGGAGGATAGTAGCACTGACTCGATACATCGGTAGGCTACCGCGAGTCATTGTAAAGGCCAGATATGCACTCAACCACCTCCAACGATACTTAATAAAGGCGAATGCGTGACGCATCCCTTAAGGATTGATCAACGCAGAGAGTTTTATCCTTTATCCTCTATTCCGGCCCATAGGAAGATGAAAATGCCCAACCTTCGGCAACTATAGAAGACCAATACGGTAATAACTACGTAGATTATATCAACGATTACAAATGCTAATGAGAAATAAAGGATAAAGAAAAGAATAAAGCTCTCGGCGTTGATCAATCCGTGATGGATGCGCCATGCGTTCGACTTCACTAAGCATTGCTGGAAGGGATTGAATGCATATCTGACCTTTCCAATGACTCCTGATGGCCTACCAATGTATCGAGCCAGTGCTCCTATCTTCCCAGGTAAGTCTGGTACCAATTTGCCGACCCCGGAAGGAAGGCCTGGTGAACCATAGGCGCGGGGATCGCTTCCATGTGCGTGTGTTGCAGGGCACCTCCGACCACTGCGCCACACGCGCCCTTTTTATTAATTAGTAGTACTGGGACTAAAGAATAGACTGTGGTGACCATTAACTATAGCATAGGTAAAAGGAAATAGAGCAAACCCACTGATGTTGGAAAAAGCTCGGGAACGTGAGGAGCGTGAACATGTGAGTGGTGCGAAGTTAGGTTGTTACTACCAGTAGACTTCCTTCGTTTCACCACAGCGTCCAGGCTAAAAAAGTCTAATGTCATGAAGAAAGCTAAAGCTGAAATAACTTAAAAATACGAAAAATTTCATGGGAATCCAAATTAATGACTGTAAAAATGTAGAACAACTGGGCACAGCAAAGGTAAATGCAACCGAAAAAAGACCTACATTCCCAACTGATCCTCGTTGTAAATCTGTCGGTCCCTCCATACGTTCAGGGTTTTGATCATTGCTTTATCAAGCTCTGGCCCAGAAATCTTTGCGGCGTGTCTTGAATTATGAGATTACAGAGCTAATTTTAAAGGACCTAACAGGAGTCTCCACTGGTGGACACCACTGTAACCGAAGTAAGCAGAGAAAAAGAAACAGTACAGACAAGTGGAGGTCTACGCTTCCACAGCTACACCGGCTCCACCTATGACGGCTCTTCCTCTAAGCAGTCAAACTCCACCGTCCACTGGAATCTTTAATAAACTAGTGAGCCGACAACCAACCGGAATGCTGGTTCCAGAACGGTGAAGAATTTCGCCATCATTTCAGGATTCTTTTTACGACTGTTCTGGATAACGTCATTGGCAATGTACAGCAAATTGACGATTTGCGAAGAATTCGTCTCTTTTCTCACCTCCTATAAAGCCAAGTCAAAGGGGCAAAGAAAAAGCCACTAGAAAGTTTTCTGGATAGAGATTTAAATTTGAAATACCTTCAGCCATATCTGGACAATCTCATCGGTATGTCGATGATGGTGCATCAACCACATTGAAAGGGTATTAATACAGTCCTGTTGAGGTCTCAGTTTACTTAGACGTTCGCGCATAGCAGCCTCCGAAAACCCCGACATCTGAAGTCGCCGTGAACCTCAACCGTTTCCCGAGATGTTGTGGCCGTCGCCGTCGAGAACACCAACTGGGCGTGTTCCAACGGCGCACAATCTATGACTGGAGCAAATTACTACTGCTCTACTCGTCTTCTATAAGGGATAAAGGATAAAGCGATCGACGTTCATCAATACTCAGTGGATGAAACATGCATTCGACTTCATTAAACATCGTTAGAGGTGAAATCAATAGATATTTGGCCCATATATATACTACTCTGTCTTTATCATATCTTTAAACAACATTCTCTCAATTTTTGTCGTCCTTATAGGGAAATGGATCCATCCGACAATGGAAAAGCTCACCAGACTTGTTTATCTCCACAGCGCAGTGAAGCTAATGAATTAATAAATTAGCTCAATTGGTTTTAAGTGGAAAACAATTGATGGGCAACCATATCAAACCTTAGGCTTGGCGGTGACATCGTCGTCATGCCAATAAAACAATGACGATTACGAACGCATGTTAAAAAAAACTCACTTACTTGGATAATTGGATGGCCCGTCTCCACTGCCTGTGTGACCCCCGGCCTAATTTCCACTCTCCAGAGATTGGTAGATTTAACCATTGTGGTACCCTGGAGTCTTGTGGTCAGCTTAGCCGAAGTCCTCTTCAAGTGGTCACCACGCCAGACCATTGTCGAGCCCTTGTGGATTAGAGGAAGATTTGCCAACATGTCACTAGTCTGATACTAAGACAATGGTGACTCCCGGTAATGGTTTACTGTTAGCTGGGCTTCAGGATGGAAATGGTGGACTCCTTATAGGCTTGGGTGGCCTTGTTGTGGGAACGAATTCCCGGTGCACATCGCAGACCGATACCCAGGAGCACTCCCAGCCACGAAGAGGCAGTAAACAGTAGGGAGGACGTGGGGAAAAGAGAGAAAAATCATTTACGTTGTGGAAAGCAAATGGAAACTGGTATTTCAATTGTTGTTATAAATACCAAATCACATGTATCCCTATGTAGAAACACTACAGTAATACGCACTTTGTTTGGACTTCTTAAAGATTGATCCACTGATCTCAAAATAAATAAGCCTTCACTTTTCAGTTCAATAGTCTGTGTCAGCAATCGCCCGGTAATCGTGGAGTGAGTAGAACGGGCACTAGTAAACCTTCCACGTTTCCCTGTCGCCTGCAAGAGTAGCCCACTGGGTTCTGCTCGCTCTAGGGACTCGTTGTTCATTATATCTTTCTTCCAGACCTTTCGTGAAGAACTCTGACCATCGGGTCGGTGGTCTCCCTGCAGTGCATTTAACATCCCAGACAATTCAGTCCTGTGCCAGACTTGTCTGGGAGGATAGTAGCACTGGCTCAATACATTGGTAGGCCACCGCGAGTCATTGTAAAGGCTAGATGTGCATTCAATCACTTTCAAACGATGTTTAATGAAGTCGAATACATGGCGTATCCCTAAAGGATTGGTCAACGCCGAGGAGCTTTATCTCTTATTATTTTTATTATGTTCATGGAAAGCCCATATTTCACGTAGGATGTGTTCCATATCATCGAAATACCATCCATCTCTCATCAAGATTTTTTTGTGTAGTTAGTTCTTCTCCGTTGTCTTGATGAGCAGACACGAGATGGTTACAACATTTTATTCACAATAGCTAACATTTTGGCGATTCCAGTTTCTTCAGAGCCCGGAAAGGTCAAGCTGACATGCAATCTTCTTAGCCAAACACTTTTATAGCCTTAGCAGATAAAACTTAGTGCATATGTTTTATTCGCACAATAATCAGCTTATTTTAAATATTCGCCGTCTTGTTCTTTATAAGTGTTCCAGTCATCGTTGGGGACCAGCCGCACAGTTTTGCATGAACGGGGAATGTGCCTGGCTCTGGTTAAAAAATCAGCCTGAGATATGGAGCGGTGCAAATTCAGTTTAATTTATGAGGATTTCTATGATTTTTCCTGCAAAACTGAGCTGCTTGAGCGTAATCTCTGATTCATCGTACTGGTCGAAAAGATGACAATGTAACCGGTTTAATTTCATAGCTCGATTTGCTTCTTTTCTACATGAGGAACCTGTCAGAGATGGTGGCGATGCAATAACCAGTATTTGACTCACGCATATTTGAGCCCTTCGATGAACATGTTGTAGTTTTCAGTCGGGTCTTCCTTAATTTGCCATTCGCACAAGGAGAATACGGTGAACGAAGCATCGGATCCAGTACAGAACGGTGGCACTGTAGAAGTACCAGCGAAGCCCTGTGTGCTATCTGTAGAGCGTGTGATTGATCTCCACATAAGGCGTGCTATATCAGGTATCATATCAGGTGGCTCTCAGGTTCCGCGCCAATCCGCCGCCTCTAAACCCAAAAACCTCACCTCGATGGGTGAAGGCTGTAAGACAACGATTCGAATCCAAGAAGTGCTAGAGTTCGAACATTATATTAAAACGGCCATCTATTTAGCATATATATGCAACCAAACACTCGTTCCTGGCTTTGCTTGCTCGTACTCGACCTTGAGTAGTGCTCCTAGAGAGTTCATATACCACATTCGGTAGAAAACTTACTTCCTAAAAAGCGAATGTTCTCTAATGGTTTGAAAACAACTCTCGAGGGCTTAACTTTTCGCTGTGGTTAGCAAGAATGGTCGCGTTTGTCAAACTACGATTTTTAGCACTAGGTTAATCTTGGCCAGATTACACAAGCTAAGAAAACCGACTTTCCTTCCGGAAACATAATAGTGAACTCATATCGGAAAATACTGACATCCTTAACTAGGTTCGTTGCATGTTTAAGCCATCAATGACGACCCAGTTACTGCTCGTGGGGATTGGAAATGCTCTATAAAGCCTTTTTGAGGTATCGGGAAAAGCATTTCTGCTTTAGCAGTAAAGTACCAGTCAAATGGAAATTGATCTTCAGCTCAAATGGCTCTTTGTGAAGGTGATTCATGCAAACTAGATTTGTTGGAACAAATGCAGTTTTACAAAAACATTGTCAGAAAGTTTCTGCCGCAGATTCTCCTTCATTCAACCATTTTTTTGCTCCACCGGTTCTATCGTGAGCCTTCAGTAAATGTAATCGGAGCGAAGTCCATCTGTGGCTCCGGCTTTTGCTCACATCTCAGTATTCATCTGCTTGTATTCGACAAAGTGCGTTACAATGGAAAACGAAGTTAAAACATTGTAATGAATAAAGCTGCCATGTACTTATTACTCTTATTTATGAGATAAAAGAAAAATTTCACACGCTTGATAATGACCACCTTTTATTACAGTTAGTATTGTTTTTCCGATTTCGGCTGGATGAAAGGGAGCAATCTTTAAGAAATATACGGAGCTCATTTGAGGAAAACAATTCTCCTAAAATCAAAAGCTCCTATTTGTCAATGAAAAAGTGTTCTGAAGGTAGTTTAAAGTGATGTGGCATCTCCAACAATACCGTTCCATTCGCTCAACCGTGGGTGGCTAGACCTTGAACAAAGGAATCTTCTCCAATGCCGTTTATTTTCTCTCATATGCGATGGTTTCGCAGAGCTGCTGTGTTTTTCAGCTGAAAACAATGGCTTCATAGCATTCTAGCAAGCACTGTACGCAGTGTGTTGTTGTCAATGCACAGTCATAACATCCACGATCGTCGCATTCCTGCTCCCCACGTCGCCTACAGTCAGTTCGCTCACTCATCGGCTGCTTCAGTGTGCTCGCCGTTCAATGAAACGTTTACCACTCCTAGGATCGGCTTTCCAGGCACTGGAATATGAATGCGTCGTTTTCTTGTTCAGCAATCGCAAGGTTTTTAAAAAGCATACATTTACTTCCATAGAAAAACACAATACAATACAACGCTAGCTGACGTTTCGGCAGTACCGCCTTCTTCAGAGCCTGGAAGGGTATACTGATATTCAATCTACTAGGCCAAACGCTTCAATAACACTTACAAAAACACGAAAGACTCTTTGGTAATTACATGATCAACAACCTCTCGAGAAAACCCACCGCTTTTTACAGCTTACAGTCTTTTTACAGGCCTAATAAGTTGTATATACCTTACAGGCTCAGAAGAAGGCGATACTGCCGAAACGTCAGCTACTGTTGTATTGTATTGTGTTTTTCTATGGAAGTAAATGTATGCTGTTTAAAAACCTCGCGATTGCTGAACAAGAAAACGAAGCGTTTACCATCAAGACTTATACGTTAAGCTAAAGCGATCGGCCACTTTCTAGCCAAAAATTTTGGAAATTTGCGACTCATTAAAACACTCCGAAAATGCTAAAGAAATATTCCCCATTTTATCTTTTATTTTTATTTTTATTCTACCTGTCTTCATGTCTCTTGTGCGGATCCCAGCACTTCTCAAATTCGATTCGTTTCCTCGGATGCATTGTCCACGAAGATCTTCCAGCTTGTACGTGTGGCTTCTGCTGCTTGAGGATTTCCATTTTATCTCAAACGTTGTAAAGTGCTGGTCGAGCAATTCTCCCTAGAGTCCTGAGAAATCCTGGCTGAAGTGTTCCCATTTGGATTGCAGAGAATGGTTTTTTTCTCAGACAAGTCCGGTACCAAATTCCCGATCCCGGACGGATGGGAGGCTTGGTTGGTCCGGGGGGAATCGAACTAACACCATGCTCGTGATGACGAACATCACTACTACTGTGCTATCGGTCTTCGAGAGAACGATTGCTTTGTGTAAAATGCTAATGTCCATTGAACACCGCAATTGAGCTATATGTACACGCGATTGAGCAGCCTTCGCATGCGTTTTATTCTTCTTTTCTCATAGACTTACAAACACAGGTGATTAGTTGACCCTCTTGATCGCTTTGAGATTAACAGAATCGCGGACGTGCTTATTTATAGGTCGTCCTGGATCCAATGTAGTTTTCGAGAGACCTCTATAGAAAACTTACTATTACCTTTTTGAGGAGTTTTGCTCAACAAACATTTACAAGGAAAAGCATGCGGAAACATGAGTATCCAGAATTTCATCGTTGAGGGAAACCGTGACTGCTTGTATTTCCACCTACAATGATATCCAAACACTTTCCGTATCGCAAACACAAATCCAGTAGAAATATTCGCACACCGGAACCAGTAGATTTATCCGGACTGACTGAATGACTCACCGACAAGTTCTAGCTTTTCATCGAGTGGTTTGTGTGCACTTTTCATTCAAGCGTACTGTACGTTTATGACATGCGATCAGATTAGTTAATATTGTAGGGAAATGCACTATATCTAAAAATCATTGAAGGTCATCGTATATTTGACTACCGGCGAGTTTTGAAATGAGAAACACATCAGGCTAACATTATCTATATCAGCTTTTATTTCAATAACCAGGTACTTCTTGAGATATTGGGTGGGCGAAAATTTCATTGATAATTGGTTTGAGGTTATTTTTGAATTTATGCCTGAAGGAAGCTTGTCAGGCTAAGCGCGCAATCTAGCGCTCTTTGGTGCTGATTTATAAACACTCGCTCGCTTGCAGTGGAAATCTTAACGACGTCCTCTATTGTGGTACTGCTTGCAGTGGTTTTCTTCAGTGGTTATGTCGAGCACATCGGCGCACCATAATAGTTCGTTTTTGTTGTTGTTGAGGCTAGTTTCATGTCTCACGGAGGTATAAAAGAGAATCGTCACGTATAACTAGTAGTCATCCGCGGCGGTTTACAACACTCATTATGCTCTCCTTGTAAGTGCTAAAAATCACACAACACTGTGCTATGTGTAAGATTAACAATTAGGAAAACCTCAGCGTGGTCATATTACCTGTCATGTCTGGTCCTACCTTGTTTCTTCTGCTATGTTCTGAACAACTTTATTTTATGCGCGCACATCGTCGCACATCCGTGTGTATACAAAGCCGTTCTTCCAAAATCTCTATAATTTTGTATTACTTGTACTACAAAATCACATGTTCAGATGCTACTGTGGTTCTTCTGCATGGTTATCATTAGAGTGGCTGTCACCCAAACAAAAACCGTTGAGTTTTCCATAAATTAGAGTCAGAAACAATTTAGTAGTTATCCCAGCTCAACAAGGGCAGTTCGTAAGAACATATATATGTATATGGATGAATTAAGTAATTATTATTGCTACTATGGTGCTGAGATTTTTGCAAAACTTAGACCCCAGACTAGATCGAACTCGCGATTACGCCATCCGAAGGCTTACGTGCCGCTGCACTGCCTTCGAGTAACCTCAGTGGTGCAGTGGGTAACACGTGAGTCCTTGCTGGAAAGTGCAGTAAAGGGTTCGTTCTGATCCGACATCCAATTTTCGCAAATATCTCAGATCATAGTTGTTGTATTTCACATCACACCATGCCATGGAAAATCGTAATAGGCAGAAAATAAGTGGGAAACATTATTATTATCGTTCTTTCTGTGATGAGTTAACAAGATGTTCTACTCTGATAAAGAAGATAATATTACTTAGAGCTACTCCAGAAATTTGTCGTCAGGCAAATATGCGACGCACAAACGACAACAAGAGTAAGCAGCTGTGTCACGAATTCAGTTGTGTAAAACAAATGCCGGAGAACGGATTTTTTTTTGTGCTTATTGGACATTTTCGCCGAAACAGGCGATTCATATCAAATAAATATTTATTTGGTGTGCAGAAAACAGCGCTGTGAACACATGGGCAAAATCCGCTTTGGTAGCTTCTTTAGTCTAACCAGTTTCAGAATCAGGTGAGTCGTTCAGCAGTAATGGAGAGAATCCATAAACGTGGGTACAAGTAATTCTGCTGAGATATTTGCAAAATTCCGCACTAAAGGTGTCTACGGTGGGAAACGAAAGCGCTGTTATCCTTGCCGGGGGCGAGCGCGTTCACTACCACACCATGCGGGTCCTTTGTTTGGCCCCATCTCCCAGCTAGTTTTCTGTCGATCAGTGCCATCAGCAGTCACCCGTCAACGGGATTGGTCTGGGCAGCCCAAATCAGCATTGAACCCAGGTAGGATGAGGCTGTAGTTGAAATCACAATGTTAGCTCCTTATTTGCTGCCTATTTTTACGGCAGTTTATTATGCGAAATACAACCACAATAGTGTGAGATATTTACAAAACTCCGGGCCGCAAGTGTCTGTGGTGGGAAACGAACGCTCTATTACCCTTTCAGGGGGATAACGCGTTCACCACCACACCACGTGGGTTCATTGTTTCGCCTGTCTCTCTGCTAGTAATGTTATGAGACTTAATTTTTGATTCCAGAAGATCCCATGTGGACTGCCACCATTCGTCGCGAAACTACCGCAGAAGCAGGCTGATGAATTAAAAGAGGTGACTGCTTCAGACATCAGCTATCGTCCGCCGTGTCTGTAACACAACTGCGATAATATACATTGATTTCATTTCGCGTCAGTATTAGAGGAAAATTTAACCTTTTAACCCCTAACAAACATATTCTGGCTCGAAAGAAGACAGCAGGTTACTTACATAGTTCAATACTTCAGTGGTGTCCCTTCATCATGTAAACTTAACATATTTTTCATTTGACTGGTAGTTTGCTTACTACGCAAGATTCTGCTATCCTCTAGAGCTTCAAAGTCCTATACGGACTTTTCCACGGCATTACCACTTACCGATTAGTTGTTATTGGTTGCCAAGATGACATTATGGTAATGCTTTACGCTTAGACGAGTTTCGGGATGAGAATGTTGAACTCATTTTTAGTTTGAGGTGAGAGATGAGCCCCAACGTTGTTCGCACTTGCATAGCAAGGATGGAAAGCTGTGGCAATGAACCTTCGGAGAAACTGATAGGCCCCGTTTTCTTGCTTCAACAAGAGGATGTTCTAATCTTCTTACTTGATACTTGAGTGGCCCGTCCTCACTGGCTGTGCGGGCCTCAGCCTAATATCCATTTTTCGGAGATTTGATGGTTAAGCCATTATGGTTTTCTGGAGTCCCGAGGTCAGCTTGGCCAAAGTCCGCCCCAGGTCTTCACCACCACAGGCGGCCGCAGCCCTTGTGGATCAGAGAGAGATTTACCATCATGCGACTTTGATACCAGGACGGTGGTGGATCCTTCCATTGGTTTACTCTTAGCTAGGCTTCCTGATGAAAACGCCGGACTCCTTCTCAGCTTGGGAGACCCTACCAGAGGACGAATCCCCTGCCATAGATCGCAGTGCGACACCCAGGAACACCTTCCAGCCAGGATGAGGCGGTAAATCGTTGGGAGGTTTAATTTATGTTCTAATCTCCTAGTGATCCTAAAACTTATTTCTTCAATCTTCCTCGTCAAAAGCTTCTTTTTAAATTTGAAATGCTTGAACAAGGCGAATTTCGTCCGGCAGTGTTCACATTTCTAGTGCTTGTGACTGTCGATTTGTGCTAAAAAATTTCTGGCTTTTATTGTTTTAACAGCTCTGGGATTTCTGTGCTTAGAAAGTGAGAAAAATTAACATTTTAGGAAGGTCACATATACCATAAAAGCTGTAGAGCAAATCTTTTCCAAGAACCTCTCAAATCTTCAGGTTCTCATTCATTGAAATTATCGAAGAACCTTTTCACTACGTTCCTATTGCTTAAAGGGCCTTTCGATCTAGTACTAGTACGCTCCGTTGCATAAAAGAGCTGCACACTGACACAAAAGACACATAAAGTGCTTGGTGCCATTCCGCCTTTTTTACTATGCTTGAAGAGAACGTAGGTGTAGTTGACTCACTGGTCTCTGCAGTGGTCAAGTGTACTCTTGGTTACTCGTTTATATTGAGATGACGAACTCCTCAGCTTGATTGATAAAGCTAGCCGAATTCCCTTATATCTCAGTTCGATACACTGAAAGACCTTACAGCCACGATGAAGCGGTAAACCATTTTAGTGATGTGGAAATAATGGACGGTTATCCTGATACCCACTATTGAGAATGTGACGATATCTAGAAAATGGTGGTATTCATCAGCTAGCAATGACTAATAGTGTTTGCAGGTGTGGGCCAACTATCGAAACGACAGCGCGTGTGAGAATGAGCAGAAGATGACCTTCGACATTGTCGGCAGTCTCACTGAAGCCGAGCGGGCAGCTATCTTTGAAGTTGAACCGGAGGATATTAGAGGTGAAGCATGAGTAAAACTAATCGTTTTATCGGCTTATCGTTATATAGTAGCATCCGATTCCACCTACGTTAATATCAATCTTTATTACTCTTTCTGTACCAAATTCACTCTCTTTCTTTCTATTAAGAAAGCAATATTGTTTGACGTAGCAATTCCCACGACCGATTTTCTTTTAACCTCGGCATTGATTGATAATTCGATGTTTTTCTTCAATAAGCAGACACGAGGTTGTTATTAGAGGACTTATTAGGATACAATAGCTGACGTTTCGGCGGCTTCGCCTTCTACAGAGCCTAGAAAAGTCAAATTGAGATGCGGTCTACTCAGCCAAATACTTTCATAACCCCAGCAGATAAACCTTAACAAATAAATTTGTATTCGCATAAGAAACAGCTTCATTTAAACACCTACCGTTTATTTCTTGTAAGTATTTCAGTTAGTTGATGGATAGCAGCCGCACAGAGTGATACATGGGCGATAACTGTGTCTGCGTCAGGTCATTGGATTAGCCTGAGGTATGGCGCCAGGTCACGCGTGATGACAAGACACTCCTCCTTGCGGTTCATTATTGAATTTTTGGCATTGATCCAAAACGCTTCAAGAGTTTTACGCGCTGATGTTTTCGATTCCTGTGTGACGGTAGTGACTCCCACTTGAAAATCTTCTCCGTTGTGTTCCTGCATCCTATGCGCGCCTAGTGGGGTGTTTTGTTTTACTTTAGATTTACCGACTGTGTTCTTTTATGCGGACGCAGAGCGGTCTACCCGTTTCACCAACGTATTCATCCTTTATTTCAAACGAAATAAGTACAGCTATAAAACGTAATCCTAGTAAATCCTATAATAACAACCTCGTGTCTGCTTATTGAAGAAAAACATCGAATTTACCATTGCCTGCCCTTTCCATTGTCATTTTCCATGTTCTGCTTCGAGCCGTCGGACTTCTGCAATTTCATTCACTGAACTATAAATCGTTTCCGCTTGTGAAGATTCTCCAAAATCACCGTTTATAAGTGGCCATTCAGAAGAAACTCGAAATCTTTCCGCTGTGCCTTGTTTATGGTCTCTCTGTAGCAAACCCTTCCCCTTACAACACCGGCTCACTTATGATTTGAATTCCAGATATGTGTTCTTTGACACGAAGACGATATGATTAGACAAAGTCCGAAAATATAACTCTTTATTTACTGCCTACTCTTCTTAATTGCATGGTATATTGCGAAATATAGCTTCAATGATGCTGAGATATTTGCAAAACTCCGGACCGCAGGTGTCTACGGTGGCGAACGAACGTGCTATTGCCCATTCCGGGAAACGCTTTCGCCGCCACACCATGCGGGTCTTTCGTTTCGGTTTCGCCTGTCTCTTAGCTGGTTCTATCGAACTCTGCCATCAGCAATCACCCATCGGCGGGATTGATCTAGGGAGCCCAAATCGGCAATAAACCTAGTTAAAATTAATCATTAAAGTTCGAATGTTTTGGAAAAAGAATGGTAAATGGGTAAAAATCAACAAAATTACAATTTCAGTTGACGACCAGTTTGATACTACTCCGCACTTCATCAAATTACTTTCTCCAGATGTCAAGAGAGGCTTCGACGCTATCTGGATGAATGTTGAACTTTCGACTCGTACGAAGGTAAGAACATGTTCGTCAAGAGGAAGAGAGGCGAACCAAAGCTGCCTGTCTTTTCTAACAATCACCTTTCTATTGATCTTATCGTTTTACATCCTTTATCCTGTGTAGTTTACAAAAACTTCACACAAAGAAATTTGCTAAGCTACATAGTTTTAATCTCATATCCAGTTGTCATAAAATTCGTTAACACGGTCACTTGCTAAGACACGGAAATCGATTGTTTTCACGTTGCCAAGCACTTTTTTTAAACCATTAGATGTTCCATAATTCTGAAATGGTTAAACTAGAGCGTTCATGAAATCGTAAAGCTTCGCTGTTTTCATGGTAGTTTGTTCTTGACGTGTAACGGCTGAGAACCACGAGGTGTGTTGCAAAGATCCGAGTACCGGTGAATTCTTCCTTGTAGAGCCTTCATTTCCCCGCATACGTCGAGTGATTTCCCAATACTGTGAAGAAGTCTGTCACTGCAGAGAAATTAAACTCTGTATAAGGTAGCATTACCTCGGCTCGTCGCACATTACCTGTCAGAATGCAACATTTATACTTAGTGGGAGACCAGCAAAACCGTGTTATTGTTCAACAAGGGTGAAATCCACGATATCAGCAACTATCGCTCAACCTGCTTGGTGTCTGTCGTCTGTAAACTTTTCACTCGAGTCATCCTAAATAGGATTGACAGAACACTGGACGAAAGACGACCATGTGAGCAAGCAGAGTTTCGAAAAGGATTTAGTACGATGGACCACATCCACACGGGTAACAAGGCTCATTGAAGTATCACGAGAGTGCAAAAGACCGCTCTGTCTCACTTTCATCGATTTAAGGAAGGCTCTTCTCTAAGCAGAGGAAGAAGCAGTCATTGAAGCTCTGGACAGCCAAATAGTTCTTGAACAGAATATAAAGGTTTCTCGTGAGCTGTACAAAAATTTCACAACCAAGATATCATCATTCTACAACGATATTAACATTGACGTCAAAAGAGGAGTTAGGCAAGGCGATATCACCTCGCTAAAATTATTTGCCGCCATCCTCCAGAACGTTGTGAAAAAATTGGGATGAGGCAACATTGGAGTGAAAATCGGTAGTTGGCAGTTACAGCGTCTTCATTTTGTTGATGACGTCGTTTTAACATCACAAAGCTAATGCCAAGCGGAACGAATGCTTGCCCATTTTAATAAGGACTGTGAAAAGGTTAGCCTTTGATTAAAGCTCACATAAACGATGTTTATGAGGAACAGATTGGTTTCGTATGCCCCATTCATGCTCAACGGGACGAATACCTCCGAATGCTCCAGTTACGCCTATCTAGATTGGGAAATCAACATTGTGAACGACTCAGCTCCGGAGTTGAGTACGAGAAAGAGAGCGACTTGGCGAGCCTTCAAGAACATTGAAGGTGTATTGAAGAAAACAAAGAGCACCTGATCCCATGCCCATCTTACGGGAACCACTGAAATGTGAAAGGAGCACCATATTCCGTTCGTGAGAATGTAGTCGTTCTCCACTGAATCGTGCTTTTAGGAGAGTTTCCAGTCATTCGGACAATTTCAATTCCATTTCGATCTTCTGTTCGGATTTACCCTATCCTGTACTCATTTTCGTCGGCCGTTTCCAATTCGTTGCGGATTACTTTCTCCAGCTGTTTCTTGAATGTGTCCAGTTCGCTGTCTTCAGCTTTATAGGTTGGTGAGTTGCATTTGATTTTGATAATACCTCCTCTGACACGGAATTTGGGGACAAAGAATGGCCAAGCTTGGTGATAGGATTTCGTATTAGGCGATGGATGGGAAATAGATGGGTGTACGATAAGGTCGAGGTTTCCGACATTTCGTAACGGAAATTCTCCTCCGCGATGACAAGTGTTCCGTCATCTAATTGGCATATGTCGGTCCTGCCGCTTTTCATCTCTTTTAGGGCGGTCGCGTGGAATTTTATGCTACCTGTAGCCTCAAGAAGAACATAGGGATTGGCGTCTGGAGAGACTGTTTAGCTTTATAGCTGCGGATCAAGAAGCCCTCTCCATGACGTGTCGTGGGTGTGCTCGTTTCGTCCGTTTCCAATGACGTCCCGTTCAACCCGAGATTTTATCAACACTCACCGGTAGTCTCACTCATAGCGTCGTAGACGGGAGTTCCCAGTGTTCGGAGTACTGATTTCGAAGTTTTGCTGATTAGCCATTGTGGTTCCCTGGAGTCTCGAGGTCACCCTTGCGGAAACCTCTCTTAGATCGTCATCACCACGGGCGTTGCCAGTCCTTGGAGATCAGAGCGAGATTTGGCACTTTGTAACGAATTTAATACCAAGAAAACAGCAATTTCTGGTAAGATTTTACCTCTAGCTGGGCTTCCAGATACAAAGGTCGGACTTTTTCTGAGCTTAGGAGACGCCGTTGTGGGAATAAATCTCTACATGTACGTCGCAGTACATCACCCAGAAACCACGTGCCAACCATACTTAAGGTGTTAACCTTTGGGAGAACGTTGTTTTACTCGAATACAAGGCAAAAATTTTATTCAGTTAATTTTCCTCAACTTTATGCCTTCGTAAACATTTTTATGTACCAGTCATATTTCCTCTGGGAGAAGTAGCCTTTCGTGGTCTGTGACTCATACTAATGAAAAAGACGACAAACTGAGTGACGTTGGCGGATAGAAGTTTGTTGTAAAATTTACCTAATTCTAGTACAAAAAGCTTACGGAGTACGCAGAAGAGAATTTCAACGAAGAACAGATGAAAGGCTTCAATGTCTGGATGTCTGACGTGAGATTTCAACTACATTTTATTTTAAAGTAGGGAACATACAACGGAACATTAATAATGCTATTTATGATTTTAATAATGTGTTGTCGCTATCATAAAGTTAGACTTTATTTATTATTTACAGATTCTTAAGGCCCGAAAGGAGTTGGATAAGAGAATTAGCAAGCTCTCATCAAAAGCTAAAGAGATATATGAAAAATTGATGAAGGTAAGAGTCAGACGATCAATTCACATTCTTGCTACATTGCACATGAGTTGTACGAATGGATTTTAAAGGTAATGGGCACGTAGATAAAATTTCACTCCTCGAACTGAACTAAACGCATTTTTGCTTGGCTATTGTTAGATTGAAAGGACCTCCATTGCTGCTTCTATTTCTGTGCACTTCATCCTTCTGTGCTTCCAGATACGTGGTGACGAGTCCAATATTCTGAGGTCAATCACACCGGAGGTTTCAAACGAGCTTCACGGCCTCATCTGAATATGTTTCTGCCAGAATAAAGGAATGGTTTATTCAAACGAATATTTGATAAATTGTAATGTATAGTTTTCACTGGGCATGATCGGATTTTTTGTTGTTTAGAGCGTCCGCCTAAGACACCCTTCTTGTAGTTTACAGTGCTGAGTGTTCGATGAAATTCCATTTGCTTGAGGGCCACGATTGTCAGTAGGAGCAAAATTATACATGTCATTGTGAGCGACGTCGCTGACGATTCATTGACTTTCGCCTAGTATACGACTTCAGTTAACTTACAGGGAAATACGGATGCTTCCTTTTCTTTGACAAACTGACACAGCGTTGCCATCTGTTATTTGTTCTACTTTAGCTGAAATTTTTATTGGTGCTTCCTTCGAACAGTAGGAATTTCTGCCGTGAAGTCAAAGGCATATCCTACATCGTAGGCTGCAAGAAAATGAGACATGTTTTCGGAATAGAGTGTTTGTAAAACTTCTGAAACATTAGAATGACAGAGGATCAGTGCTGTTCGAATGGTTTTACATTAGCAGTGGAAATAGGTAGTTAATCCGTTGAGAGGGTCAGACAGGTGACGATCGCTTCTTCGAAAACGATTGACCCCAATGCCGCAGTGCCGACATTTCCACTACCGCTTGTACATTGTCAATAAGGAGATCATAGGAAGTAGAGATCTTTCCCTAATCTTACTCTCATTTGTAAATGTGAAAGAAGCGTAACATTTCATTGAATGAGGCAAGAACAACAATGATCGTACAACCATCCGGCAGAGACCCCAAGCTAACATGTGTGTTAAACATCGAGAGAATTGAACCTAGGCAGGATTTTTACCCGACCAGAGTGCTCGCTAATGTTATTGTGTTAGTATACAACCTCGTTGAAAGTAAGCGAAAGCTCTAAGGCATTAACAGTTGTTCTAGCACTCAGGACACGGAAGGACCAAAACTCATCGCTAGTAGTGATCGATTAATCCTAATAGTTCACTATATTTTTGATGAGCAAACACGAACTGTTAGTTTATTCTCCATTCACGGAAAAGCTGCTATTTCGACGAATTTCGCCTTCTTCGAAGTCTGGAAAGGTCCAGCTGACTGCAATCTACCCAGTCAAATACTTCCATAAGCAAACAGAGAAAATACTGAACCAAGATTTTAATTTCATTAAAAACAAAACAGCTTCTTCTCATAATCACCGCTTTCTCTGGGTCTTCCACTCTTTATATGGAAGCGTTGTGCCTCTCATATTAACAAATCTTTTTTAAATACGGTGAGATCACACGCGGTTACGAGACATCCCTCTCTGCGGTTCATTTGTGTATTTCTGGAATTCATCCAAAATGCTTCGAGAGCTTTATACGCTGAACTTTTCGATTTCTTCTACGATAACAACTACTTTAAAAGCTTTCCCGCTCTGTCCCTCAGTCTTGTGCGCGGCTAGTGAAGTATTTGTTTTAATTTTAAGTCTACTGACTTTTATACGGACGCAGAGTGGTCTACCTGCTTCGCTAATGTATTCCTCACCTCACGCCTTACGAGTGATCAGATAAAATGCACCCGAATTCATTGAATCACCGTCTCTAGCATTAGATCAAATTATGCAATTTTGCTTTGTAGATAGACGGTCGTACAAGTGGTTGCGAAGTAGTAGGCGTATTAGAGTGCTTGGTGGTGTTTAAATCACTGTTACCGAGTTCTCTAGGCCATTCCTTCTTAAGCAGCATTTTATAGCCGCACTTATTTCTTGCGAAATGAAGTCCGGATAAACAGGACTTTCATAACGCTAGAATTGTTGTTTAGGGTACGGGTTTCCTCGAAACCTATCCCGAGAGCTACAGTTTCGTAGCCTTTGGGAATGGCTATTTGCCGTACCAATCTTAAACATTCTTTTTTCTGCTTTCTTCCGGTGGCCATATTGGTGGCTGTTCCAAATATGTTTCTTATAAACGGCTTTGCGTGTGACTGGTGAAAGCAGAAATTGTGTACCAGTATGCTTTCACTGCTTGGTTTTGGTACCAGCTGTTTTCTAACAGGCTAATTTAAACGGTCCAAAGCGAAAGCCTGACTTCTTTCGGTTTCTCTTGGATAAACATAATGTACTCTAATTGTTCGTTCAATAACTCAAAGCATTTGTCCATCCCTTCTTCTGCGAAGCAAGTGACAAAGCAATCTGTTGTCCTCTCTTTCACAGCAATCGCGAGGTAGTTATTCAGCACACCTTTACTTCCTTACAAATATAACACATCCAACACAACGGTAGCTGACGTTTCGGCAGTATCGCCTTCTTCAGAGCCTGAAAGGGTACACTAATGTGTAATTCATTAGGTCAAACTCTTCAACGACGCGAACAGAAAGATGAAAATCTGAGCAATAATTACGCGATCACCGACTTCTCGAAAACCCACAGGACTGTTTTCCACCAAGGAAGAACAGTCGCTTAGAGTCGCGTATGGTTGATTGCTGCACCACCCCACATCAAAAATTAGTTCTGAGATATGGGGCTAGATCACGCGTTATTTCAGGGCATTATTCCCTGCTATTCATTCTCGGATTTTTGGAATCTATCCAAAAAGCCCCGAGAAATTTGCGCGTTGGTGTTTTCTCCCATGCGATGATATTCTTTCGGCTTTCCTCGGGTGAACTTGATATACTCTGACTGTGCGTTTAACATTTCGAAGCATTTGTCCAATTCCTCTTGTTCTTCTCTTCTTCTTCTTGTACCCTCAAAAATCCGTGGAGCCTAGCAGCTGACGGTTTTGTCCAACGATCATCGCTGTGGCGCATTGTATTACAGGATAACTTGATTTTCGACATCTTGGTGTACGCTGGAGAGTCTGTAATTACTAATTGTTGACCTAGGTTGTACGTTTGGATTCCCGTCTAACTTTCACGATCTAAGATACTACTAGCATAATACGTAGCACATTCAACAATAAGTCTACGAATTATAATCTATACATTAACACCACAGTGTAGCTATACATTAACTTTCGAAGAGTTCCACAGTCAAAAAAACGAAAACTGATTCCCGCCGTTCCTTGTTATACAAAATCCAAGATCCAGATAAAGACAGCTGGAGCATCTGGAAAAATTCGCCATTTCAGACGTGGATAAGCATCAAAAGGGGTCCACTCTTCATGAAGGTTGTTTTGTGCAGGTTTTCAAGCAAAAATTCGTTTTGCATGTTTAGTACAGATAGCCCAACTTTTGTTTCGCTTAGCGAATGGTTCATGTGATAGAAGCGAATATTAGCAAAGCCAACTTACTACTGTTGTCAGTGATTGACGTGATAGTTATTAGTGAGTTCTAATCTTTTGACGGCGCTTTGAGAGTGGGTGTAAACAATTGTAGCGTGATGGTACCGCCTTAGTTATAGATAGACGATAAGGAGTAAAGCGGCTGACATTGGTTAATCCCTGAGAGATAATCCTTGCACTCCACTCAACACCACTGTAAAGGTGGTCGAATTTATATATGACCTATATAGTGAATTGCGGTAGCCTAACGATTTATCAAGTTTCTGCTGTTATCACCCCAGATAACTATGGTGCTAATTTGTCGACTCCAGAAACATGGAAGGCTCGATGGACCCAGGGCCTGGAATTGGACCAGCGACCGATTTAGTAAATATCGCGAAGTATCTCTGACCACTGCGTTATATGCTCTTATGTTTATCAACACACTTTCGTTGCTTCACCTGTGTTACCTGTGGTCCCGTTGATCATCGAGTGACTCGAGCGGGCGCCAGTAAATCTTCCATTTTTCCCTGTCGCGTGCAAGAGTAGCTCAGCGGGTTCTGCTCGCGCTAGGAACCCGTTGTTCATTATATCTTTCTTCCAGACCTTTCGTGAAGAACTCTGACCATTGGGTCGTTGGTCTTCTTGTAGCACGTTTGACATCCCGAGGAATCCAGTCACTAACGTTTCTTGTCCATCGGTTGTCATTCATGCGCATTACTTGTCTGGCCCACCTTCGACTGTTTCGCGTACAGAGCGGTATCTTTGATCTGTGTTCGCTGACGCAAGTCGGAGCTTCGGATCCCATCCCTTAGTTATGTGAAACGGGATACTCCTAGCATCGTTCTTTCAACTGCGCGTTCGATTAAGCTGAGTGATCTTTCATCCTACTTACGCAGCCACCAGGTTTCTGACGCATACGTTAGGCCAGGAAGGACCATTGAGTCGGAAAGGTGGGCACGGAGTCTAGTGTTCTGTGTTCTCTTCACTAGATCCTCGATGCTCCTGAAAGCTCCCCAAGCGGCTCATTTCCTTCCGCTCAGCTCTGGAGCTAGGCCGTTCATTATATTGATTTTCCGACCTAGATAGACATAACTGGAGCGCTCGGAGATGTTCGTTCCGTTGAGCGTGAATGGGGCATGCCAAACCAATCCGTTCTTCATGTACATCGTTTTTGTGTGTAACGGCAAACTATCGATTTTCACTCCCATATCATCCCATTGCAATGTTCGCATGACGTTTTAGAGAGTAGTGGTAGATAATTTTGGCGAGATGGTATCGTCTTGGCTAACCTCTCTTTCGACGTTAATGTCAATATAGTTGTAGAATGGTGATACCTCAGTTGTGAAATTTTTGTACAGCTCACGAAGAATCTTTATGTACTGAGTAGGGACTCCTTGACTATCAAGAGCTTCCAAGACTGCTTCTATCTCAACTGAACCAAAGGCCTTCTGTAAATCGGTTGAAGGGAGGCAGAGTGGTCTTCTGTACTCTCGCGATACTTCAGTAAGTCCTGTTATCGTGTGCATGTGGTCCACCGTACTAAATCGTTTTCGAAACCCCTGCTTGCTCACGTGGCTGTCCTTTGTCCAGTGTTCTGACAATCCTGTTTAGGATGACTCGAGTGAAAAGTTTGTAGACGACAGACAGCAAGCAGATTGGGCGATAGCTGCCGATAACGTGTAGGTCACCTTCCTTCAACAATAACACGGTCTTGTTGGTCTTCCACTGAGTAGGGACCTTGCATTCAGACCGGTAACGTGTAAGGTGCCGA